TTGCTTAGCCTTACGTTGCCCTTCCAAAGATCATCAGGAAGGCGTTGCGTAACAGTATGTATGGTACAAAAATAGATAAGATTAAAAATTATCATATCAAAGAGAGGGTGCAAACAACACGCGCAGAAGATAAAATATGATGCCACTTGAAATGACTTGGCCATGTCCTAGGTGGATCTCTAAATGCACCAATTTGTAGACGTGATACTATTGTGGTAGAAAGTGCTAAAAAGGAATGTGGTAAACTAAGTATACATGGAGGAAAGTTGTCTCTAGGACCTGCAATCTCTCGGAATTGTGTTCACTTAGCTAAGAATGCTATAGCAACAATACCAACTTGTTGGATTAAAGTTTATGCTATTTACGTTAAGAATGATGAGATTGAGATACCCTCCAGCTTTTAAAACTGATTTGCTGTAAATGAAAAATTATTTAGTGTTGAAACGAAATGACCCCTGCGAAAAGCGGAAAATGTAGATTAACTCAATTAGTTTGAATTGAGGCCTAATTGATTGGTCGATTGATAGATGTACAAACTGTATAAAAATGGTGAAATTGTGGTTGAAAGGAGATCAAGTTTCTGCTAAAGAAACCAAAATCTGATTGCATTTTTCTTTTCATTTACCATTAAAAATCTGGTTTTCTGATTCTTTCAAACTGGTGACAGGATTAAGAAGTTGATAGACATGGAGGCGCTTGGCCTTTCTCGATTAGCTGTGATTGTGCTGGATATGAAAGCTGATGCGAAGGGCTATTCACTGTTGACACTGCCTCAAGTCAGGTTGGACCTACCGTCAAACCTCTCTAAAACAATCCCGTTTGTTCAGCTATTTTTGGATGCTATAGTGAAGTGTTGTTATAGAGGACATATTATACCATAAATAAAGCATCGGTTCCGAGAAAAACTTGGCTTTTATAGTGAATGACTGTTATGCAGGGATGCTGTTATAGAGAGGTATGACTGTGAATGGCTGTTATTTACGTGTGAATGTTACACATTTTGTCTCGATCTAAAGTTACTAATACTTAAACGTATATATGGTGTCTCGAGTGTTGGAACAACCTGGCTGTTTTTCTTTATCCCTGTCTTGCTCATTTGCCCATTGTTTGCCTCAGATGTGTTTTTCATATGCACCTTATAGTCCTGAAGATATCATAAACCGAAAAACAGCATTCTATCTCCCTTAACCTTTTTACCTTCGATTTCTATCGACTAATTTTTGACATCTCATGGACATTCCATTTGGCAGAGATGAGTTCTGGGACTTGTATAGGAACTACTTTCACCAACGAGTACTGGAAGGTGCACTGCGGATATGTCTTTATGGTGAAATACCAGCTAATATTAAGAGAAAGAAGAGCATCGAGGATGAGTAGCTTGTTCATGACTGATACAAGGATTCCATACTGTCATCAGCCAGCCCGTTTTAACATTTTTGTATCACAAATTTTGTGGCAGAGGATAATACGATGGGAAGTTCATTTTTTCTACTGTGCACCCTGCCTCTTCTTTTCCCCTATCCCTGTTTAAAAGAGAGGTTAAGAAAATATGAAAATCTAAAGAACATAAAGGAACATGGTTAGAATGGAAAGTCTTGTATTCTCAAACACTAAGCAGCTGCATTAAATATAGTCCAGAGCAAATGGTACAAAATAACCCGACATAATTTAAATAGAAGAAAATGACTCTACAAAGATTTCTTGTATTTTCACATAAAGATCTCCTGTGAAATGAACTAGATAACTAACAACTTGTTTGGATGGTTATTAAATGTCGTTTCATAATGTAACGTATTATATTGTACTGCATTGTATTGTATTGTTTAATGAATACAACATTTGGATAGACTGTATCGTTTGTCGTCGTTTCATAATGTCACGCACCAACAATATGAAAAATAAATCAGCAATATGACTAAGAAAATATAGGATACGAAGCGAAAATATTATATAAAAAGGTAAAATAAAGGATAAAATATGATCATTTAATAATAAAGTAGGGCAGAGTGGCCTTTCTGCCACGATCCGTTGAGATTCAGCCCTTTGTCACTCCGGTTCGTAAAAAAAATTACAAAAAAAAAAAGATAACGATGTCACCACACCTAATCCGTCGTTACACAAAAATGACACTTTTTGGCGTTACGTAACAACGGATTTAACGATATGATACAATAAAATTTAAGTAACAATCAAAACAAACATTATATTTAAAGTAACAATACGATACAATACAACATGTAACAACCATCCAAACATACCATAATGGAACATTTGTCACCACTGGACCCTTAGTTAAAGCCTTAAAAGGTTCCAAAATTCTTTGTTAAGATGACAAATTTCTTGTACAAAGGAGTGTAGATATGAAATCATCCATAGCTTTAACAGAAGAACCCTTAAATTTCCCCTCTTCTTTAACAGCTTCTCTAATAGAAATCCCAATTTCATTAGCCCTTTCCTTCATTTCTTTCCCTTTTCCACTTGTACTCAAAACAACATCTATCACTTTCTTCACATCATCTTTTTCAATAACACTTTCTACCCCTTTAGTTAACTCAATACAAACCCCCATTTCTTCCATTAACATCTTTGAATTAAATGCTTGTTCACCAGCCAAAGGCCAACTAATTATAGGCACCCCTTCACTTAAACTTTCCAATACTGAATTCCATCCACAATGAGTCAAAAATGCACCCGTCGAACCGTGACACAAAATTTGCAATTGGGGTGCCCAAGATTTCACAATTAAACCTTTATTCCCTTTTTCCACTCTTTCTTGAAAACCTTGAGGCAACCATTCTGATTTAAACTCACCTTTTAAATCAAATCCAATAGGAGGTCTAACAACCCAAATAAATGGTTTTTCACTATCTTCTAATCCCAAAGCTAATGCCATCATTTGTGAAGTACTAATTGTGTTTTGTGAACCAAAAGATATGTAAAGAACAGAATTTTTAGGATGTTTATTTAACCATTCTATGCATTTTTCAGGTGACAAACCATGATCTTTTGCAATTCTTGATTCCAAGATTTGATCTTTTTCTCCTTTCTTGATCATACATTGTGGAAGTAAAGGTCCAATACACCAAACAGGAAGTTTTGTCAAATTCTTGATTGCTTTTATACCTATAAATTCAATTTCCTCAACACTATTACATAACCAACCTAAAGAATCCAAAGAAGGTAATAACATAGATTTCAATATCTTAGACCAAGAATCATTACCATTTGCTAATTTCATAAAAGGATGAAGTTGAGAGACATTAAAAATGCAAGAATTTTCATCAAATCCTGGCATTTTAAAAACACCATTAATTGCTAATAAATGAGGTAAATTTAGCCATAATGATACATAAGCTGCTGTACCATAAGCACCACCTGTAGTAAAACTCACATTAAAAATACCACAAGATTTTGCAACTTCACTAGCAAATCCCATAAATGTATCAGAAATTATACAAAGTGGAGACTTACCATCTTTTTTAATAATCTCTAAAATCAACTTTTTAAGTGGATCTTTGAGAGATAATGTAGAATTGAAAATTGTCACCATATCTTTTAATGGCAAAGCTTCTGTATTCTCAGTATTTGGTGGTAAACCAAGGTCAAAACTATTATAAGGAAGTGAAACCAAAGAAATATTATTGGGATTTTGTCTGTTGGAACTAAGATATTTAATATTAAGAGGGGTACTAACTATAGTAATTTTGTAGTTAGTTCTTTCTTGGATTTTATTGGCTAAGGCTAAGAATGGAATCATATGGCCAAGTGCTAGAAATGGAAGCATTATTATATGTTCTTGAGTGTCACTCATTTTTCTACAAATTATTGGAAATTTTGAGCTGCTAAAGAATTTAGAGAGAAAAATGGTGGAATTTTTTTAGGACAAGAAAAGCTAGAAAGATAGGGATAGGGTGAGAAGAAGGGAGAAGAGAGGTTGGGTTGTATTTATCTTCATCATTCCAAAGCTTATATATATTGAATTTTGGGGAAAAAGCCAACCTACTTTCTAGTTTCATTAATAATGGCTACTATTTAAATTTTTCAGTGGATGCAAAAATAATTGATGGTTTCTTCTTGTGTATTTAAGCTTCGGTGATGAAATTATCTGGTATATATGATGGTGAAAGATACCAGATATTTCTTGAATTTAGTAATGTCATATCCCGATTTCGTGTATATATTTAAAAAAGGAGTAAAAAAATATCAAATACACTAGAGTAACTATTTAATATTTTCAATATTTCATGTATAGTCAAATCAGTCTCGTTTGTTTCGAATATTTTTGGATATTATACCGAAATGTTGCTATAAAGAATATATATTATAACATAACATAAAAATTGGTTCCGAAAAAACTTGGCATTTATAGTGAAGTGTTTTTATAGAATTTAATAGTTCCTTGTGTGAAATCACATACGTGGAGAAATTGAGTTCCCTTGTACAATGTTGAGCTTAGCCCAAAAATTGTTTGGTTTTAGGTAGGTCATGACTTTTGGAAGTCCCTTCTTTAAAGGCTGACCCTTTATTCCCAAACCTGCAACCTTGCCACTTGACCCTTTTTGACTTGTTTAAGACCACAAATTTTAAAAGTTTTTATCTTTTTCTTAACCCCCGTGCCCAGTTAAATAAGTTCACATAAATTGAAACGGATGGAGTAATATTTAGTTCAACCTTGCCTCTTCGATGATTAATTTTTTATTTTATTTTTTATAATTGTAGTGTCTGAATTAGGTAAGATGTACTTTGACTAATTTCACGATCGGGCTCTTGGGTCGTCCGAACCTAAATATTGTTATCAATCTGTATTAACTATAATAATTATGAAACAGTAAATTTTCTGTAACAAAAATAGAAATAGGAAAAACAGAAATAAAGCAAAAACTGGAAATAATTAGAAAACAGAATTTGAAAATAAATTTTGGAATGAAATCGAGCCCACCGAATACACAATATGCCCTTAAGGAAATTATTCCCCTCAAGTACCCGAGGTGTTGGAATATTATTCTCCCAGGATATAACGAGTTGACTCACCAGAGTATCTGAACCTAAAACGTTGGTGAACTGCGAACCACTCAATGGCTATAAATCACACTGGAATTTATTTGTGCAAAGAAAGAAGAAAAAGTTTAGAAAATTTCGTAAGGAAATTTTTTGGGATCAAAGCGAATTTATAGCCATTTTCTGGCACTGTTCCTGGGTTATTCTGGGTTGACTTTTTGATAATTAATTAAATAATTGAAAGAAAATTTGTGCAAAAAATTAATCAATAAATCGTTGACCAAAGCCGAAGCCAAGTCGAGCAACGATGACGAAGCAAGGCTACCTTCTTTCCAACCCATTTAACACCAAGGGAAGTGCTTTCTTAATATAAGCACATTCCCTTTTCTTTCCACTACCAATGAGGGACAATTGCTCTTTCCAAAGCATAAGGGAACAACTTACTTTCCCTTCACATTTCTTCCTTCCATTTCCCATTCACCAACCTCCAATCCTAACATATATATTGTAAAAGTGGTGGTGTGGTTGTCCGCACACCCCTGCTTTTGGGTCGTCCGGACCCATATAGAGTAAAAGTGGTGGCATGGTTGTCCCCACACCCCTTATTTGGGTGTCTGTATTTTTGGCGCTCGCCGTAAAGTCCTTAGCCCTCTTTTGCCGAGATGCCTTTTAAAAAGATTTTTTTTTGTGCGTCAGAACAAGAACCACTATACTAGATTTAGCTAATTCGAGTAGGGGATTTCCTAGGGGCGGCCCTTCCTTAAAGCAGGTAAAGCAACTGCTTTAGGCCTTACATTTATGGGGACCCCATTTTTTATTACATCTAATAGGTTATATATAAGTTTTAAATAAAGTTATGTGAAGTGAAAAGATTTAATTTTTTCTTTAACAATTATAGAGAAGAAGGATTTATAATTGCTATGATATTTGCTAAGGAAATTACATTTGAATAGAAAATCGAACCCGAATTTCGTAAAAAACCTGTGATGTATATGAAGAATCAATTTAATGAAAATAAAAATGAAATCTCAAAATCTCTCGAAGAATTATTTAGAGTTAATTATTTCTTATACATAGTAGACAAAATTATTTTTTTGAGTTGCTTAAGAATTTAGAGAGAAAAATGGTGAATTTTTTTAGGACAAGACAAGCTAGAAAGATAGGGATAGGGTGAGAAGAAGGGAGAAGAGATATTGGATTTGTAGTTATTATCATCATTCCAACGCTTATATGTATTGAATTTTGGGAGAAAAAGCCAACCTACTTTCTAGTTTCAGTAATAATGGCCACTATTTTAATTTTTCAGCGGCTGAAAAAATAATTGATGGTTTCATCTTATATATTTAAGGCCAAATACATATACAGACCATTAAACTTGGTCCAATTGTTCATTTTGACACTTTAACTCATCTTTATTCCATTTGCTACCCCACCCCCCACCACCCAAAAAAAATTTACCTTTTTTTTTGTAATTTTAAATTATTATTTTTTTTCATTTTTTCTGCCCGTATCCTAGGGAAAAAATATATTTTTTATATATTTTTTCAGTAATAACTACGGGTTCAACTGAACCCATAACTTTCGATGTGAAGTAAAAATTTGTATGTAAAAATTCATTAAATTTTTTAAAAAAATAAACATAAACCCATAACATTTAAAAATATAATGGGTTTTTTTGTTCCAATTTGACACAAAAACTTTTATCCCAAGTAAAAATGCAACACAGACAAATATCCAGCTGCTACCCCCACCCCCGCAATTTTTTTTTTGTAATTTCAAATTATTATTATTTTTCGTTTTCTCTGCCCCCCTTCACGTGGAAAAAATATTTTTTATATATATATTTTCAGTAATAACTACGGGTTCAACTGAACCCATAACTTTCGACGCGAAGTAAAAATTTGTATGTAAAAATTCATTAAAAATGTAAAAACAATAGATATAAACCCATAACTTTAAAAATATAATAGGTTCAATGTTAAAAACATTAAAATTGAATCCATAGGATTTAAATTTTGGATCCGTCTCTACGTTGGGAGTATAAAATCTGGCTTAAAAAATGGCTCTCACGCGCTTATAAGGGTGAGGCAAATCACACATGGAATCTAGTAAGTTTTTGCGTCAAAGTGGAATAAAATAAATGGGGTTAGAGGGTCAAAATAAAATAAGATAGTTAAAGTGTCAAAATAAAAAATTAGGCCAAATTTAATGGATTGTCTATGTATTTGGCCTTAAGAATACAAACACATGTAAGTTTGAACGGCTTTGGTCAAACAGGAAAATATGAAACTTTAACATAGTCATAACAGTACTGATCATGCACGTGAATGTGCGTTAGTCATCTAGCTGCAGAAATTCTAGTGTTTCTAATGGTTACTTTTTTCAAGTTTGGTACGAAAAATGTGAAAAAGAAGTTTCACTTTTACCACAAATGGTAAATTTTTTGTTTCCAATACCAGTCGAACCATCCTATAAATGTACTTAGTAATTTAAAAGTAAAAACTTGGCCCCTTGTATTCTGTAATCAAATTAAGGATTTAGGTTAAAATCGAAAAAAGAGTTTTTAAAGTTGTGTTGAAAATAATTTTTGAAAGTTGAAGTTGCGTTTGGTCATATATTTTATTTGAAGAAAGGTTGAAATTTTGGAAGTGGAAGAAAAAATTTCACTCAAAAACTGTCATAAACCAGTTTTTGGGAACTTGAAAATTTTCGAATTTTTTTCTTCCAATACATGATCATATTTTACAAACAAATAATATTTTCAACTTTAAAAAAAAAAACCCAAAATCTATGAGCAAACAGGAGCTTAATTAAAGCGATGTTTTCTTTTTTCCTTGCTCTTTTGCTTCTCATTTTAAAAATTCTACCTTTAGTTAATACGCAAATACAATTTTGAATTAGAAAATAACAACAATATTTGCGGCTGATACAAATTTATTTAGGATGAAACACTAATCTAATCCCACAACAAAAAATCACTAAGATCAACAAAAGAAGCAAGTAAAGTCTATTCTGGCATCAGATGGGCAGAGCCATTTTCAGTCAAATAAAAATTTTAACAATGATGTTCACCAGTAACTGTGAATATGACAGTCACAATTACCTAACCTTTTTCCTACTAAGTGATAGAAACAATTCCATGATATCATGTGAAAAGCCGAAAAGGAATTAATGTAAATTAGTACAACCATAGACACAGTGGACGGATCCATGATTTAAAGTTTATGAGCTTCTACAGTAATCCTAAGTTAATATATCATGATAATCAGATTTACAGTCAAATATTTATAAATATTTAGGGATCGTTTGGTATGAGGTATAAGTAGATATAGTGCTGGTATAAAAATTTAATATCACCTTAATACTTTATTTGGTTAGCAAAGCTGGTATAAGTTATTCCGGGACACAATACCAGGATAACTAATTCCGAGCATAACTTATCTCAGCATAAGTCGTATTCAAACCAAACGACCCCTTAGTGAATTTTTAATACATATACAAATAGAGGCAGACTCAGGATTAAGCACCACTTTTCTGAAATTACTGTTCTCTCTGTTACTCGAATTCTCCGCGCAACAATTCGTAGTAATATTATAATCATTTTCAAGGTATAAAACACATACACAGAGACAGACCCAAGATTTAATGGTAGCGGGGCACCACTATCTTTAACAGTGACAATTATCCGGTAGCTATCACTGGTGGTTGCCTGTGGGTTGTCGTGTGGAGAGAGAGAGAATTGAACAATAAGCTTTTGATTTAGGGATTTAACTAAAAGTAAAAGAGGTAAAGCAAATAAAAAAGGAATGGGCAGGTAGTAGCTAAAAATATGAGCCTTTGGGCTGACCATATTTTCCAACTAAAATATGGGCCATTGGGCTATCATATTAAATTGTCCAACTGAAAAATAGAAAACATGGAAAGCAGCTGTGTGGATGCAAATATTGGAACTCAAGTATTTGGCATGA